AAACAATAAACCTGGCCCACAAGAATGGAGTTTAAACATGTTTGGGGCGACAGTGGTACAGGTTGGTGTAATGGCCTTGACAACTCTACAGGTCACACGTCCTTCCACCCAGTTCACAAGACTTCCAGTTCCTTCTACACAGGCTACCCAATTAGTGATATTAGGCTTTAGAAGGAACTCTTTACCAATCTTCTTCCACAAAACATAATTCATGGCCGAGTAAGAAGATTCATTGAGCGGGGTTGTCGTTGACTGTGGCACCCATGCCCCAGAAGACGTGTACACAGGCCAGTTTGGTATTGGAGTGACTGCGTTACTTTTGACTTTAAAGATGCTTAATTGGAGGATTCGATAGCTGTAGACAAGGGTCCAGCCTCCTCTATCGGTGGTCATGTCACAAAACACTTGGAATGGCGCAGAGGATGGCTCATTGAACTTCATCCAATAAACACCTGACTTTGCCTGGCTGTCATCCTCCTTGAGCTTCTTACAAGATGTGATTGGTATATCTGGCCTCGACCCTGGACCAGCGTTGTCATCCCGTATCTCCATGTAGATGGTGCTTTGTTGACTAACAATGTTCTCTGGGTGTCTGGTCTTGGTAGAGTACTTCAGTTCACATGTCTTGTTCGTCAGGTTCATGTTGATGCTTGCGCAATGTATGTTGTCCTCACACTTTGTGTAACATGCAAAGATTGTTTCTACCTTAGACGATTCAGGAGTGAATCCTTGCAAGTACACGTTGAGCTCTGAATATCTTTGAGTAGGCCACATCGTTGCGTAGGTGACTTTGTGCTTGAGAAGAAACAACACAAAGGCAAACACCAGCTGTCTCTTCATCGTGTTTTGCCGCTCGACTTCTGTGAATGAAGAAAGTCAGTTATTGCAACAGTCAAAATAGGTTTAGTGTATGAAGTTGATAAACTTTTTTTAAAATTAAAATTTAATTTTCTTTCACGGCCACTATTGATAATTCCTTTTTTTACAAGAAATATAGAATAGTTGATACAAGTTTAAAAATTCGTTGGCCGGATTTGATGGATTGAAGAGAAGTCAAGATTTAGACTTCTACAGACTTTGATAGCCAGAAAAACTTTGTACTGATTC